CACACTTTATTATAATGCGTCCTTATAGAGTGGTGGAACTATGATGTCACTTTTTAGGCAAAAACCCGGAAGCGAGTTAGCATTTTAACACTTCCGGTTCCATCGTCCCAGAGTCAATTGGTTTTATGAATGGGATTTTGGTTAAATCCGTAAAATAAACTATCGGAGACATTAAACGTCATCACGCCGAACAGTTTATCAACAGTATTTACCAGTCGTAGTATAATTTGTAATAGAATTAATTGTAGAATAACCAATTAATAGTTTCCCGCATTTTATATTGTTGTTCGACAATGTTTTTTTGTTTTGCCCCTTAATGCAACAAGTCTTCGGATGGAAGATGCTCGTTTTATCGCTTTCCCGCTGATGCAGAGACTCTGGGTTCGTACCATAAGGTAAACTCATATGATTATTCCATGTAAACACCACATTTACCAGCTTAGTCGCGGTGAAAGTAAAACTTTAACGATGCATAGTGCTTTAAGCCACGTTAAAATTAAATGTTTACGGCCACATGAAGCTGTTAGAAAGCATATGAGGATTTTCTAGAAGCAAGGATAAAATTAAATTGTGTCCCCACCCTAACAAAGCTGAAATGTGGTACTTTATTCACTAAAATAAGTTATCACATCCAAAAACTTGCTCACTCTGCTGTTATTTAATAGATTAAATGCACTAGAATTTTATTGAATAGTATGTGGACACGTTTTTAATTAAAATATTCATATTAATCAAGGATTTATTGACTTTTAATGCACCTTATTTTGAAATGTACAGAAATGCGTGCTTGCATATGTCCTTTAGTTATGATTATTTCATTTATTCACTATACTATTTACTATTAATGTCTCATTTCAGTTTTAGTTTGGCTCTAGTTTTGTATTTATTCCAGTTCATATGAAAAGGTTAATGTAGCGTGGATTAAAATTCATTTACAGAGTAAATCCTTTTCACTGAACACGTTAAAAATAAGTTTGAAAAAGTTGTGGGAAGCATGGTGGTGGTGACGTTGAAGGCGAGCGACCGTGGTGGCGTAGTTCGTTTATAGCCTAAGTTTAGCTTTTAAGTTCTGCCGCTTTTATTTAGGCTTCAAAATTCATAAAAAGTTATATTATTTTGTGAAGATTATCTTGATGGACAAAACGTGTAAGTTTCATGAACTATGGTTGAACATAGAGCTTATTTTTTGCGATAATCTAAAAGCCTATGGAAAAATCCAATAGGCTTTTTGTCGAGGGAACCAGTGCGATGCTAACAGCCGATCCGCCTACAAAGTGACGTCATAGTTCACCCACTCTATTACAGAGTAATTACACAAATAAATGCTATTAAGTAACAATTACTTTCTATAGGTTCAGGGTTTGGTTTAGTTAGTTAGAAAATCCTTCCACCTGAATCAGATCTGTACCCTCAATTTACATTTTTAAATCTCGTTTGAAAACATATTTGTTCTCTATGGCTTTTGATTGTTGAATTTTGGAAGTTGTACTTTGTTTTATATTTCTTTGATGTTATCTTTTATTTTGCCTGTTATTATTGATTTTTGCCTTTTTGCTCTGCTCTTAATATTATTGTACTTTCACTGTAGAGTCCTTTGGTCTACAGATCTCTGTGCACAAGAACATCTAGGCATAAAAAGAGTTTTTCCCCCCATGCCATCTCCAGCTTAAACAGCTAACATAGCAATTACCACCGGTTTTTATTATTGATTTCTCAGTACCTGCGAAAAAGGCAATAATTAGAAATTATGTAAATACATATACGTATTTTATTTATACAGTTGTATATATACAACACATAATGCACAAATCTGTACATAAGTCTTCTGTTCCAGATGTATGCCACAATATTATTTTTTGATCTCTAACGTTTTCCTTAGTCTTATTCATTTAAATATTATTTCTGTTCTCAAGTCATATATGTATACATGTACCAAGAGCTCCTGAAAAACCACAAACAATTCCTTGTGTTTGCGAACACAAGGTAGCCTAGGTTTAGCTTTTTACTTCTGCCGATTGTATTTAGTTCGGTTTATTTGCAAAGATTCTCTTAATGTGTAAGAAGCAAACTTCTGTTTGTCAGAGTTTTTTTTTTTCCCCCAATAAAAAAAAAATAGGAAAACATTCTATTGGCTTTATGTCGAGGGAACCAGGCTGATGCTAACTTCCAGGACTGCTTCCATGTCATCCCTCACTCTATCATTCTATTAACACAGGGATAGGCAAAGTCGGTCCTGGACAATGTTCCCTCTAAGCTGTACACATGTGCGGCCGCACACCTCTTACGCCGCGAGTGCGCAGAATAAATAATATGTCGCGCACAGGACAGAAGCAAAAATGAGTTGGGGAAAGGTTTAATTCTAGTAAATGTAAAATAATTCTCGGGGCAAACCGCTATTAGAACCAGTGAATGCAGTTAACAGGTTACACAGAAAGAGAATGATGTGCACCAAATGAGTCGCTGTAGAAATCGAATACTTTAATGGTTGCAGATGAAATGGCTCAACATGAGAGTCAACGCAAACACAGTGACGTGAAATAAAACATCATGTTTCAAAGGAGAGTGGCTTGATTAAGTGGTGGAAATAGTGGATGATGGGCACAGAACGGTAACAAAACTCAGACATTTACACAGTTACACAGCTGTAGTAGTGTGCAAACTCTAGGCTACTACATGGAGATGTTAATATAAGAATTCACATGTTCAAGTTTTTGGAAAATATTTATTGAAAATATTACATTATATTATATTATAAGACTAATAAACAGTAAAACATTTTCATATTAGCTATATTATATTACATTATATAACTATAAAAAAATGTAACTGTTCTGTGTGAGTTTTTTATAAATGATTTTCAAAATAGAATTTCTTAAGTAACAGCACTGTAAAAAATTTTTTTTATCAGGTAACCTAAAATGTGCATCATTTAGTTAAATATAAATATAAATAGCACATTAAAGTTAAAAGTTACACACTTTTTTTGTGTGTGGTGTAACAGTTCTGGTATACTTTGGTATTCTTTATATATAAAGAATGTTTTTCTTCAGGTTGGCAAAATTTCCGCCCAATAGAGAACATTTTTGCTCAGCAAGCAAACAATTTTGAGGGAACATTGGTCCTGGAGTGCCGCTGTCCTGCAGAGTTCAGCTCCAACCCTGATCAAACACACCTGAACAAGCTAATCAATGTCTTCAGTATTACTAAGGCTACAGGCAGGTGAGATTTTTTTTTTTCAGGGTTGGAGCTAAACTCTGCAGGACATTAATGGCCGTGTACGTCAGTCAGAAAGCAACAGAGTGGTATGAAAGAGAAACAGAGGGGTCCATTACAGCCGATTCTGCAGCCCACCTATTAACGTCCTGAAAATAAATCCATTAATACTACCAGACACAACAAAGGTAGCTTTCTTCTGATACCTGCCCTGAAACTTGAAAACTGCAATTTAGACAAACAACACTCAAACCCAGCAAAAGCAAAGGAATATTATCAATAAAAGCTCGGTACCAGTAAACACTGTGCTCTTATTGGGCTAGCCTGGGTTTGTCCTGACCTTAAAGTGACTGTGGCATCATTCCACTACTGAGGGAACAAGCGAGCACTTGTCGAGGACATAAAGGGTATCTAGATGGATGCTAGTAGTCTTGGCAGAGCTAAATGCATACCCAACATTAATAATATACAATACTATTTGTATTTTATGAAGAAAACACGGTTCTGAGCAGACACAGACACAGACACAAGATATAAAATAAAGAAAAAAAATAGCTAGGAAACACTGACGTGAAGTGAATGTGTTACTTACAGGGCTCCCCTGGCACAGACAGCCCAAAAGCAGTGCAGTGTATGACGCCACAATACTGTCCTCCATGTGCTTGCCAGCATGCTGAAGAGCTGGAGAAGAGAAAAAAAATAAACATAATAAAATGACAGATTACTTAAAATGGGAATTTTTCATTAATATTTGAATATCCGAGCTCATAAATGGAATATTATATTATGCTTATTTAAATGAAGTCAAAATGAATGTAGATTTCTTCATTTCAGAACATTTTTCATTACACTACCCACCAAAAGTTTGGAATAATTACGATTTTTTATTTTAAGTGCTTTTGATCATTAAAAAAAAAAAGTAACAGCAATACAAAACAGTCATATTGTGAAATGTAACAATTTAAAATTAAAGATTTCTATTTTAATATTTTAAAATGTCATTTATTCTTGTGGCAGCAGGAAGCAGCCATTACTACAGTCTTCAGTGTCAGATGTTTAAAAGTAACAATAAAAACATTCATAATATTACAAAAGATTTCCATTTCAAATAAATGCTGTTCTTTTGAACTTTTCATCAAAAAGTCTGGAAAAAAATGTATCTCAGTTTCCACAATTTTAAACAACAACAAAAACATTGATGATAAGAAACATTATTACTGATGGATCACCAATAATAATTGATAATAATTGAGCACCAAATGAGCATATTAGAAAGACTTCTGAAGAGTGGAGTAGTGGCTATCAAACGAATAAATTAAATTTTAAAATTATTAAAATAGAAAACAGTACTTTTAAATAGTAATATTTCAGAAACATTAAAAAACTTAAGTTATTCCAAACTTTTGACCCGTTGTTTATATCCACAAGCATATATTGCACCCTGTGGTTCTGTTATTATTGTTGTTGTAAGCAATGTGTGTGGAGAAAAAAAAAGTATTGAACAAAAATTTTTAATCTCTCGTAGAGTAAGCAAACAACACTAATAAAGCAGACTGCCCCACTTATTGTACAGAACGAACATGAAAACTGCATATAATGGTTATCGCGTTTATACTGTTTCTCATGTCCTTTTTGAGAAAACCAAACATATCCACATGCTCAGATGGAAGTCTGCTCCTTAAGCCCAAAGTGTACTTCGGTTTTTATGTGAGGGTCAGTGTACAGAGCGAGTGACACAAATTTCATCACAAGCTTGACTTGGTTTTGCACTAATCAGTTGTGTGAACCAAAACAGTTAAGCGGTGAGGGGGAAAATGATCCTTAGCTTTGCTTTCGTTAAGCTGTGTGCATTGAAGTTATTTCAGTCTATTTCAGTCATGAACAGCAGCGAAATGCCTGAAGGCGATCGCTTGAGAAGGCAGAAAAACAATAGAGCGCTTCTGAAAACAACCTTGAGAAGATCAGAACAAGTTTGGGTCAAAATTGGAATCTACTGGCCTTATCAGAGAGATGTCAAGTGCTAAATTCAATCTTGTACAAAAAACACCAACCATAAACAAAACAGGACTTATTCAGTGTGTAGTTTATGACACCAACTCTTGAAATGTAGATCCACGTTGACATGGATGTTGGCATCCAAAACCCAAGGTCACGGCTAGACGGAAACCAGCGTTCATCGAAACGGTTATTGCACTTATCTTTAATTATCACAGCAACTTCAGCTCTGACCAAACCTCAGTAGCAGTGCATGCAGAATTTTCGCTGAACTCAGGGTTACCATGTAGCCATGACCCAAACCCATGGATGACATTTCCTGGCTTCAAAAACGCATTTGAATTCATTCAAATTCCTAATCATTTCTCTCTTGCACAACACAGTACTGCAGCCAAGCATAATTCGGCATATTGCACGATTTAATAAGTCTGACTGTCGATTTTGAACCACATAAGGTTTGGACATCAAGTTTGTTAACATTAAAGTTAACGTTCTGGCATTTGGAAAATACGGTTAAAAATTACGACTACTACAACATTCTAAAAACGCTTTGTCCCTTTCCTGCCCTAGTGAAATGGGAAGTGATGTAATTTATTCCTTCGCAGACCTTTGACATAGCGATATCGATTAAAAACGAATTTGTGCAACACAAAGGGAGCACATCCTGAAGCGAAGAGAATAGATTTGAACCAGGAGGGCATGTCTTTGCGGCATTTCAAAGAGGACCAGAATTTCGAATGCGGTTTTGGATTCGCCCTCCAATCGTACAGGTCAGTGTTGAACGCTTTTAAATTCACAGACTTGAGAGTGGAATAAAACAAACAGAGGGGGAGACATCCTTTAACAAGTTTTATCAAAGCCACTCTCTCCATTTCTGCCAATGAAAACCAGCTTCCAAGGCGACTGATCAATAGACGCCAGATTAGGGAGGATTGTTATGCGAGGAACACAATTATTTCGTGATAAAAACATTTTAAGACGAAATAGGTGAACAGATTGTGACAAACTCAATCAAAACAGCTCCTTTTAATAGAGTTCTGGGAGTATGATGTGCTTTAGATTTAATTCTTTACAGTCTGAATGATGAAGGTACTGGTTGATGATGATGATGATGATGATGGTGGGTTGTTTTCCAGGTGTGTTGGGGTTGGGCAGCAGTGATCTGAAGTCTGTGTGTGGAGCTCTGCAAACACACTAGCAGTGTTCCAGATAATCAATGACCCTGGAGATAGACTTCTGTCCCGTGGTGCCCACATCACACTGTAAGGGACAAAAAAGACGCAACTGTTCAGTCAATAAGCATAACTTTATTGGTTTTCCTTACAAAATGAGGTAGAACATTAGTATTGATATTACAGCAGGATCACGCATATGCTTGCCTACTTGTTATATTCATGTCGCTTAATTTCTAGTGACAGGCCGTTTTATCAGTCGATATTTGGCCATTTTTCAGATTATAGTGGTTCAATTTAGCCAATTAACAGAAGTGGTATTTCTCTCATGGGTCACATTTTATTATAACGTGTCCTTATTACAATGTAATTACACAAATGCTAATAAGTAACAATTACCTTCTATAGGTTTAAGGTTTGGTTTGTAATTACGCATAATAAGAGCACATAAAACATATTACCCTCTTATGTAAAAGTTCCAAAAACAGAAAGCCTTGTCAATAGACAATAGATGCTTTCATTTTTGTAAAATAAGTGTTGATTTAATTCATCTTAAAAAAATAAAAAATAAAAATGCATTTACGGGAATAGTTGCTACTGCCGTTAAAAACACCTGAAAAAGTCTAGCTTTTTCAAGTTTCCTTCATTTGTATCTTTATTACTACTCTTTGTATCTTTATTTATACTTTCTCTTAATTTTTTTTTTACAGACTATCATTTAATTACTGAAAAAATGAAGGAAAATTTATATATAATAAATGTATTTAAATATAATCAAATATATATAAATATATATATTTAAATATATATTTATTTTATATATAATAAATAGCTATTACTTGTACTTATTGTAGATATTTTTTGTCATTTTAAAGAAACTGTGTGTGTGTGTATGTATTATTTTATTAAAGCATATAATAGAGTTATGCTGCAGGAAATAACATCATTTTTGAATGTACGGTTCAATCGTCCCAATGGTCTTTATTGTTAACACAACCCAATATTTTCAGGTGTTATTCTATGGACATGAAATATATCAGTAATACTCTCTTGTGTTTTTTTTAAAGCTTTTTCTTGTCTTAAAGTTGGTTGCTAACAAGTGGCTAAATGGGACTACAGAGGTTGTTAAAGACATTGCATTGTGTTTATACTCACACTCTTGCAAACTATCAGAACTCAAACTTTCCAACTTGTGATCAGAACCTTAGGTGATGGTGACATGGAAGTGAAGCGACTGTGACACATTCTGTTTAGAGCCTAGGTTCAGCTTTTTACTTCTGCCGATTCTATTTAGCTGGGTTAATTTGTTTGTCACAGAGCTTATTTTTTCCAATAAAAAAATTGGAGAAGTCCTATTGGCTTTGTCAATGGAACCAGGCTGATGCTAACTTCCAGGACTGCCACTATGTCATCCCTCACTCTATCATTCTATAAACGAATTGTGATATTCTGTTGCATCAATTACTGAAATTGATATTGTAGCAATCATAATATAAGCCACCACTGGTCAAATCGCTAACTCTTGTGCACTTACTGTAAGGTTCATGAAATTCAAGAACTTCTTCAGCATCTCTGTCATGACTGAAAAATCCCCTTTTGGCAGGTTTTCCCTCACAGTAGTCACATTCATCTGAAAGAGAGAGACCGCATTAGCCGCTCATTCCTCCCGTGGGGTTACAGTGCACATCAGGCCTGTGCTGAAAGAGAGTCTGGAGATTTTTAAGCAAGTGTCTGTTGATCAAAGCAGCAGAACTCCATCTCTGGCCATCATTTTTTCAATGCGCTTAGAGTCTCCATGGTGCTCAATCTTCAAAAACACATCCAAATCAAATATTTCTCTCCTTCTAAATGAGCTCTGATGCCCCCTAACATGAATCTAAGCTGCAAACAGGATGATGGGTCTTCCTAAATAAACCCTATTTTGAGTCAATCTGTTTTTCTAAAACAGAATCAAACTTGACCTTCAAAGTGTGCAAACATGAATCCAAAAGAAAAAGTGGGTGAAATACCATCTCTTTTTGTGTCTGCATCTGGGCCGTGTTTATTGGCGAGACAGATAATGGCCGTGTACGTCAGTCAGAAAGCAACAGAGTGGTATGAAAGAGAAACAGAGGGGTCCATTACAGCCGATTCTGCAGCCCACCTATTAACGTCCTGAAAATAAATCCATTAATACTACCAGACACAACAAAGGTAGCTTTCTTCTGATACCTGCCCTGAAACTTGAAAACTGCAATTTAGACAAACAACACTCAAACCCAGCAAAAGCAAAGGAATATTATCAATAAAAGCTCGGTACCAGTAAACACTGTGCTCTTATTGGGCTAGCCTGGGTTTGTCCTGACCTTAAAGTGACTGTGGCATCATTCCACTACTGAGGGAACAAGCGAGCACTTGTCGAGGACATAAAGGGTATCTAGATGGATGCTAGTAGTCTTGGCAGAGCCAAATGCATACCCAACATTAATAATATACAATACTATTTGTATTTTATGAAGAAAACACGGTTCTGAGCAGACACAGACACAAGACATAAATCAAAGATACAAAATAGGAAACACTGACGTGAAGTGAATGTGTTACTTACAGGGCTCCCCTGGCACAGACAGCCCAAAAGCAGTGCAGTGTATGACGCCACAATACTGTCCTCCATGTGCTTGCCAGCATGCTGAAGAGCTGGAGAAGAGAAAAAAAATAAACATAATAAAATGACAGATTACTTAAAATGGGAATTTTTCATTAATATTTGAATATCCGAGCTCATAAATGGAATATTATATTATGCTTATTTAAATGAAGTCAAAATGAATGTAGTTTTCTTAATTTCAGAACATTTTTCATTACACTACCCACCAAAAGTTTGGAATAATTACAATTTTTTTTATTTTAAGTGCTTTTGATCATTAAAAAAAAAATAATAATAGCAATACAAAACAGTCATATTGTGAAATGTAACAATTTAAAATTACAGATTTCTATTTTAATATTTTAAAATGTCATTTATTCTTGTGGCAGCAGGAAGCAGCCATTACTACAGTCTTCAGTGTCAGATGTTTAAAAGTAACAATAAAAACATTCTATCTAGATGGATGCTAGTAGTCTTGGCAGAGCTAAATGCATACCCAACATTAATAATATACAATACTATTTGTATTTTATGAAGAAAACACGGTTCTGAGCAGACACAGACACAGACACAAGACATAAATCAAAGATACAAAATAGGAAACACTGACGTGAAGTGAATGTGTTACTTACAGGGCTCCCCTGGCACAGACAGCCCAAAAGCAGTGCAGTGTATGACGCCACAATACTGTCCTCCATGTGCTTGCCAGCATGCTGAAGAGCTGGAGAAGAGAAAAAAAATAAAAATAATAAAATGACATTACTTAAAATGGGAATTTTTCATTAATATTTGAATATCCAAGCTCATAAAAGGAATATTATATTATGCTTATTTAAATGAAGTCAAAATGAATGTAGATTTCTTCATTTCAGAACATTTTTCATTACACTACCCACCAAAAGTTTGGAATAATTACGATTTTTTATTTTAAGTGCTTTTGATCATTAAAAAAAAAAAGTAACAGCAATACAAAACAGTCATATTGTGAAATGTAACAATTTAAAATTAAAGATTTCTATTTTAATATTTTAAAATGTCATTTATTCTTGTGGCAGCAGGAAGCAGCCTGCTGAAAAGTTCAAAAGAACAGCATTTATTTGAAATGCTGTTCTTTTGAACTTTTCATCAAAAAGTCTGGAAAAAAATGTATCTCAGTTTCCACAATTTTAAACAACAACAAAAACATTGATGATAAGAAACATTATTACTGATGGATCACCAATAATAATTGATAATAATTGAGCACCAAATGAGCATATTAGAAAGACTTCTGAAGAGTGGAGTAGTGGCTATCAAACGAATAAATTAAATTTTAAAATTATTAAAATAGAAAACAGTACTTTTAAATAGTAATATTTCAGAAACATTAAAAAACTTAAGTTATTCCAAACTTTTGACCCGTTGTTTATATCCACAAGCATATATTGCACCCTGTGGTTCTGTTATTATTGTTGTTGTAAGCAATGTGTGTGGAGAAAAAAAAAAGTATTGAACAAAAATTTTTAATCTCTCGTAGAGTAAGCAAACAACACTAATAAAGCAGACTGCCCCACTTATTGTACAGAACGAACATGAAAACTGCATATAATGGTTATCGCGTTTATACTGTTTCTCATGTCCTTTTTGAGAAAACCAAACATATCCACATGCTCAGATGGAAGTCTGCTCCTTAAGCCCAAAGTGTACTTCGGTTTTTATGTGAGGGTCAGTGTACAGAGCGAGTGACACAAATTTCATCACAAGCTTGACTTGGTTTTGCACTAATCAGTTGTTCCACAAGGTGGCGACACTGGCCCGGGCTGTTTTTAATCACAGTAGAAAACTAAACCAAAGCAACGGAACAAGAGCAGCAACAAATACCGGAGACTGCGACAACAACAGACACCCGCATTAACAAGCACTTGATTATCTCGCTTATTATTCCATGGTCATTTGTCAAGTTATAGACAAGTTAAAACTAGTATTGCTCTTTGCAGCGCAATATTTGACAGAATGGGTAAAAATTACGCTTATTTTTGTCAGTTACAGAATTATAGAATTACAGAATTATAACATTTATTTGAATTAATTATCGATCGTTTGTTCGAGAGAGAGAAAGATGACAGTTGTGTGTGTGAATTACCTGCATCTGTGCGTCTCTCTCTACAAGCAATGAAGCTGTGAGTTTAGTTACTTAAAGATTTTACCTCCTTGCTGAGAAATGTAATGGAGCAGGTCTGTATCATACTTTGTTTGGCCTTCCAAAAGAGGACACGACTAGAAATCAGTGGTTAAGTTGTATTTACAACACTGTTCCAGAACAGTTCAATATGCGCATCATTTTTGCTGCGCGCAGCTTCGCGCTGACACGGGAGTAGGTATACTCTCTAAGCGCTGTTTCGTTATGTTTTCAGTTTCGTTTGCCCTTTGATGTTTATCATATGCAACAGAAATTGAAGCGCTTATGAGTTGACCAACGCGGTGGTCGCACCAGTACGACCGCACACAAAATTTAGTCGCACAGGCAGAAAAAATTATCGCAGTCTGGAGCCTTGCATATTAAAGTTCATTAGTGCAGCACTGCTTTGTTTACAGCGAAAACCAAGAAAACGCTTTAAGCGCCACCTGCTGGCAGAGAGTGAATCTGCGTCTCATTCAGCTTGTCTGCGGTTTCTGTTTCATGCAGATATTTTTTATGCATAGTTTCACAAAACTGAAGTCAAACCATTCTGTTTTTGCTTCAAATTTAGAAATTATACAATGTAATTTAGATTAAAAACTGCTCATGTTGCATGTATGCAGCATCTTTGTTTGGATCATGATTAAAATGCAGTGGTTGCCTCTAATTTTAAAAGGAAAGAGCACAGAAAAAGCCTTAGTTTGTTTATATGAAGAGATTTATTTTATTTGTGTTACTTATTTATTTGATTTGGGGCTTGTTTTAAATTTTAGTTTTGTTATTTACATTTAAATTAAATTAAAATTTTGTTATTTAGCAAACGATTTTATCCAAGGTGACTAACAAATGAGGACAATAGAAGCAATCAAAACCAACTAAAGATCAATAATATGCAAGTGCTATATTAGTATATTATTATAGTGTTATATTTAAATTTCACAAAGAAATGTACAGTATTTTGTCTAAGCCATAATAAAAGAACACATTTAATTTATAATTTGTCTTAAATCTCCATTTTGTTTAAAAAAAAAACGTGAATCAAATCGAATCGTGAAATCAAAATCGTGAATTGAATCGTGAGTTGAGTGAATCGTTACATCCCTAACAAATAGTTGAGTTTGCCAGGTGCATACAACATTTATGACAGGTTTTCATGAAAGTGTTGGTCAGTTTGTCTGCTTGACAATCCCATTTTGCACTGCAACAATAAAATTGAAGTGAGATACACAAACTGAGAAATGTTCCTTTTTAGTTAAAACAGATGTTGCCAAAGTTTTCGTTTGGGGACATAATTTGAAGTTGGAAAAAGGTAATACATTGCAATATATCGCAATATATTTAAAATCACAATAATACTGTATTGTGACAAGTATCGTGATAATATTGTATCGTGGGGCCTCTGGTGATTCCCACCCCTAGCTTTAGACCCTTATCAATAAGGCTGGTTGCAGAGGAAACCAGAGCATGTGAGCAGAGCAGAGTGGGAGCGGAGTGGTAATATTTCGCTCAACCCAGAATGCCGTTTGGTGATTTGCTTGTTCCAGATCGAGAATCTTTAGAGATCGAGAATAGTACAGCAGTTATGGAGTTCAGATATTGTTTCAACAAAGTTGCAAGCCTTATACATAAATGTAAAGTAAAAAAATCTAAGTTAAGAATGAGCAGGGAGAAGAAACTGAGAGGGAGTGCGGGGAGAGTTAGTAAAGATTCATATTGGAATCTGAAGCGGCACATTGCCAGAAAGCACGAGGATGTGTTACGCAAACATGGTGCCGCAAAAGGTGAGCTAGTATATTAATATTAACGGAATATTAACGGAGCGCTTGCTTGGGCGGTTAGAGCGACTGAGTGGAGCGCACGATCATAGAGCGGAAACCGTAGCGGAGCGTCACACTGCTCCGCTTCGCTTCGCTCACATGCTCTGGAGGAAACGCACTCTGCCAGAACAGATGTTGCAAAAGAAAATAACTGGAATTGCGCAAATGTCAGAAAAAGAACTAAGAGCGCATATGGATTCTTGACGCAGGAGCTAAATGCATCATGACTTAGATTTGAGTCTGAGTTCATGTGGTGTACTCACATATTACACAATTCCATTCTCAGAAACCTCTAACATACGTGCACACTTACAACCCTGTGGCAATATAATCTCCATTGGCTACTAAACTTTTTAGCTTACTCGCCAGACTGATATACTAATTTACACACACACACAGTGCATACATACACACACACACACACACACACATACATATGATTCCAGCAAATCAGCTTATCTTTGTAAAATGGCACAGCTTCTTAAATTCTAGCATAATGTAATCAAGCATTATATTATATAATGAAAATTAAGCACTATTTAATGTTAGAACTGTAGTAATTAGAACTAAAACTTAGCAACCATTTATAAATGCATATTTGTTACTTTAACTAAGTTTAGGACTAGTGGTCATCCATTGAGCTGAATTGAAATAGAACAGATCACTTGATGGAGAGCAAAACTCTGAATTGCTCCGTGTTCAGCAAGTGAAAATATATCTATGCTAAACTTGTAATTAGCCTCTGACACACACACTGGTGAGTAAAATCTAAGAATTTATTAGCCAATGGCTAACGACTGAGTAAGATTTAGTCGCATATGCAAGTGATTTACTCACAATGTAGAGGGTTGACTTAGCACATTTAAAATTGTGTTCTTTCACTGGGTCTCTAAGTCCAAACTGAGATTGGTTGTCCACCAAAGTGGCTTGTGCATTAAGCAAAATTCACGGTCATGGCATTTGTCTAGTCCCTGGGTGTAGTGTCTACCTTTGTTGAGATCAAGTTCTTCATCCTCCTCTCCCTTCTTCTTATCCTCTGTGCTGTTGTTTTCTGAAGCTACCCACTGGATCTCTTCATTGGTCTCTTTCCATTCTCCACTCTGGTCCAATTGGGACTTTGGCGCATCATTGATGAAGTCATCCGTCTCCGTCTCCGCCAATATGGCTGCATGCTCTCTCTGAAGAAAAAGCTATACATGCAGAAACAGAGAAAAAGCAACTACTAGTGTTTTGCTTGTGAACCAATCAGTGAACAAAAATTATTTTGGTGGACACATTCAAAACTTTCAAATTACTGGGAATCACTGAAATTTCTCACCATGAAAACCTATTCTATTACACGTTTATATTTCTATTCATGTGCAGATGCATTAAAGGGATAGTTCACCCAAAAATGAAAATTACCCCATGATTTATTCAACCTTTAAGCCATTCTAGGTGTATATTACTTTTTTTTTCAGACGAATAATATGAATATTTATATTGATATCCATATAATTTTCTTACACAAAAGCATCAATTCGCTTCAGAAGGCATTTATTAACCCCCCAGAGCCATGTGGAGTACTTTTTATGATGATGGAAGCACTTAATTGGACTTCAAAATCTCACTGCTATTATAAAGCTTGGAAGAGCCAGGACATTTATTAATATAACTCTGATTATATCCGTCTGAAAGAAGAAAGTCAGGGGTAATTTTCATTTTTGGGTGAACTATCCCTTTAATGGTCAGCTTTATCACAAATTTGAATACCAAACTGTACACCAATGTATCATTTTATTTTAGCAATTAATCGTATGCACACCATGCACTGATGCACTTTCAACATACACTAACAGTAATGTATGTAGTCATGAAATCGGAGAACTTCCTCAACAAAATCTGATAACTAGTGGTCACAGAGGAAGCAGTTGAGACACATTTTACTACCATGTGTAAACAGCGATGTGTTTTGAGTGACCATTTGTGATCACATCACACCAAGACCTTAATAATAGGTGTAATAATACTAGGGCCTGTTTTCTTTAAGTGTGAAACGTGGACATGCAGCAGTTGTTTCTCTGTGTTTGTGTTTATACCTTCACCAGAGCAGCAATGGCGCTGCGAGATCTCTCAGTTTGCAACTCATCTTTGTCAGACACGCACATGGAGTCCCAGACTTCACCTCCCTCCATCTGCAGCTCCACCAGACAGTGTCTGTTCCTCGCGCTGTACTCAACCAGATTAATAAGCAAGCCCAGACCCTAAAAACACACATAAATACAATGAAAAACACCTCATTTAGATCAACAGGAACCACAACATAGACAGACAATCTGGTTTCAGCTTGATAGGAATGTCACACACAACTGGTCTGCACAAACAAAAATAGGATTGGACAATTTAAAAATATTTTACACTTTTATTTTAGATATGTAAATGATACTACTCAAATATATATTTAAAAAAAACTAGTTAAAATCAAGACATGTTTTCTGTATTTTTTCACTAAAAGCACACAAGAGTGAGATTTAATCATTTTCAGTTATATGAATAAATTAGGGATAGGAAAAGTAACATTCATTTTGAAATATGTATTGGCAGATATCCTATGGCATTATGCTCATGCTATTTGAGCTAGGACTGGACAATTATAAATATTACCAAACATTAGAATTAGACACTTTGACAATATGTCAATGTTAACAGTAAAGAGAAAAGAATGATCCAACCGCATGTCGGCGCACGTGATTGTGACGCTCATGTGTGACATGCTCTGTGAAGGGCCATAAGGTGCCATTCACACAGAATGCGCTTTTGTATTGACAAAGATGCGACACGGGCAGTGGAATAGGAAAAAATTCTGGAAGATGGGAGTTGAGCTTCTTTTAACTTGAGCAGCGCATTTTTAGAATGCTGTTTCATGCATGAGACGCTGCAAGAGACGCGAGCACAACAGTCAAACGCGTCCATGTTTACATAGAAAAAAATACTAACTGTACATCTGAAATGTCATGCTTGCATCATGGTGACAGGCTGTTCATTGTTTTTACAGAACATTTACAGTTAATAATAGTCTACTGATGTTATACCTTTCTTTGGATGATATTATGCACTGTAGATGATGATAACTTTAAACTCTTTGCAATTTTTCTCTGAGAAACTCCTTTCTGATATTGCTCCACTATTTTTCGCCGCAGCATTGGGGGAATTGGTGATCCTCTGCCCATCTTGACTTCTGAGAGACACTGCCACTCTGAGAGGCTCTTTTTATACCCAATCATGTTGCCAATTGACCTAATAAGTTGCAAATTGGTCCTCCAGCTGTTCCTTATTGCTACCTGTCCCAACTTCTTTGGAATGTGTAGCTCATGAAATCCAAAATGAGCCAATATTTGGCATGACATTTCAAAATGTCTCACTTTCAACATTTGATATGTTATTTATATTCTATTGTGAATAAAATATAAGTTTATGAGATTTGTAAATTATTCCATTCCTTTTTTACTCACAATTTGTACAGTGTCCCAACTTTTTTGGAATTGGGTTTGTATAAGACAAGTTTGTACAAGATGTAATTGTAGTTCATGCTTCTTTTTTGCAAAGATATTTAACAAGTGATTTGTTTAACATTTACATCATGATGACAACTTCATGTGTGGTGCACTTAATTTTTGTTTTTTATTAGAAGGTTAATAAAGAAAAAGTTACTTGAATCATGTTGTAGTTACATTTTCAAAAATCGAGAACCGTTCAAACGTTCTGAAAAAAAAATTGACACTTAATTTTTTTTTGCCATATTGCCCAGCCCTGAGCGTTGTTCGCTAATGTTTTGAAGTGAAACAAAATGAACAGACATCTCTGATTCAAACAAGCAAGCAGATTGAGTAACAAGACAGAAACCTAATTTGGGGTTATTTCCCATTAATAAAGACAAAGCTATACGAGACATTTATTATAATGGGTTTATGGGATGATTGTAGTAAGTTTATTTAGTCTATAAGGTTGCTCATGTTCAATAATTGTTGTAAGTGATAAAGAAAAACAGTAGTCTGATCTTTTGCAGTTGGCTTATTGTTATTAAAATGTATTGTTGATTAGTTATATTTAGACAATTACGATTAATTAGTTAAAAAAGTAATTATTCACAGCCCCACAATAAATAGAATACATAGATCTGTGCTAACAGAGTGTGTTAAAAATGTAAAAGATTGGACGACCAATAATGTTCTCCTATTAAATACGGATAAGACAGATATATTACTTATTGGACCAAAATACAGTACACAGAATCTCTTGGATTACAATTTGCTACTAGACGGATGTACTGTTATTTCCTCTACAGTCAAAAATCTGAGTCCAAAATGCAGTGGCTAGAGTCCTTACCAAGTCAAGAAAATATGATCATATTACCTTTGCACTGGCTACCTATTAAGTTCCGTATCAGTTACAAAATATTATTACTTGCCTATAGGGCCCTTAATGGGTTAGCTCCTGCGTACCTAACTAGTCTTCTACCACGCTACAATCCATCACGCACCCTAAGGTCGCAAAACTCTGGACTTTTGGTAGTACCTAGGATAGCAAAGTCCACTAAAGGAGGTAGAGTTTTTTCGCATTTGGCTCCCAAACTCTGGAATAGCCTTCCTGATAACGTTCGGGGTTCAGACACACTCTCTCTGTTTAAATCTAGATTAAAGACACATCTCTTTGGCCAAGCACTCAAATAATGCATCTCATAATCTTGTACTGCAGTTATATCTGATTAAATGCACATTATTATTCCTTAGTTTGGGTTAAACAAATCAATGTTGCTTAGTTGGAACAGCAGCTACGCTAATTATGTCTCTATTTGTTTCTTTTTTTTGCCACGGGTAACTAGGATTTACACAAGCTTCAGTCTGGATCCAGAACACCTGAGAAGAGATGATGCCAACCCCTCAGAGGACCTCAGATGATGCCAACCCTGAAACAACATACAGAACTACCACATTTTGCTATAAGTTTGATTGCATCATATAATAATTGCTGTTAATAGTGTTCATTGTCTGTTTGATTACGTCTTTAATTGATTTTTCCGTACATTTCTGCCATATGTACATTAACTGACAGTCACCACTGATAAGCTACCACTAAATATTGTAGAAACTTAATTTGCTGTAAAGTTGCTTTGCAATGATTTATATTGTGAAAAGCGCTATACAAATAAACTTGAATTGAATTTTTAGCGTCTGCCATCTCAACATATGAGGACATGAAATTCAGTTCTTCTGAGTGTCACTTATCAAGCTTTTCACCATTTCATTTGAGAAAAACACGGTCAAATAAACACAGAACCTCAAACATCTTCCTAACAAACCACCAAAATTAAAGTTATGTTTAACTAGAAGAAATTATGACAGAAATATATTATTGTATACTAAAATGTACTTCTCAAAGTAATATTTTTAGTTTAAAGGAACATAATACAACTACAATGTTTTTCATCCATGTAAAAATGCAGTTATGTAAATTAATATTTTAAATTTTTATTTTAATTTTGTATTTTAATTTGATTTCATTTTAATCAGATTTGACTACATTTTTAAATATTTATTAAACTGTTTTAGTTTTAATTATTTTCATTAGACACCATTTTCATGATAAATTTGTATTAAAATCATAAAACCGAATTTAGCGGAAAATAAAATGGATTTCATGGGGTCCTTAATTAAAAGGTAGCTTACTCTGTGGTTATGTTTGTTCAATGAGGAAAGCATTTCCTTCCCCATTAATGGTAAACGAATATAGTGATAAATATCAATATCGAATGATACAGGAAAAAAAATATTGTGATAATATTTTTGGCCATATTGCCCAGCCCCAGAGTGAACTTCTTCAAAATATTACCTTTTGTGTTCCACAAAACAAAGTCAGTCATACAGGTTTGGAATAACAAGTGGATCAAAAAAAGAAAGAATTTAAGGTAGTGGTTCTGAACTGCTGGGTCACAGTTCTGTGTTACCATGTTAAACAGTTCTTATGCCCTCATCCTCAAATATAAAAAAAAATACATGCAATGTAAAAGAAAATATGACTCGGGCTAAATTAGGGTTTCTGGAGGGATCATCAAATCTAATTAAATCATCAAATCCTATGATGTTTAATGCCTTTTAATGCCATTTTTAAATTTTTAATGCCATACACAACCAATATATATAGCCTTGGTGAGCAGAAGAGACTTGTTTCTAAAACATTAAAAACCATTGACCGCTAGTGTGTGTGAGATATACACACACACACATACATAATGCTTTTGAAACAAGTATCTTCTGCTCACCAAGGCTGCAGTAATAGTAATATTGAGGAATATTATTTCAATTTAAAATAACTGTTTTCTATTTTAATATATTTTAAAATAAAATGTATTCCCGTCATGAAAAGCTGAATTTTCAGCATCATTACTTCAGTGTCACATGATCCTTCAGAAATCATTCTAATATGCTGATTGCTGCTCTGTAATGATCAATTATCGGTGCTCAATTATTAATAATGGTTCTTATTATTATCAATACTTAACATTTTATATTTTATCATTTAAATTTAACGGTTTTTTGGTGTGGAAACCATGACATTTTATTTTTCAGAATTCTTTGATGTACAGAAAGTTCAAAATAACAGCATTTATTTGAAATAAAACCTTTTGTAACACTATAAATGTCTTTACTGATACTTTTGATCAATTTCATTTGTCCTTATTGAAACATATCTTCTTTTTTTTTTAATGGTACTTTTGAATGGTAATATATCATGGTTTCCACAAAAAAATTTGACGAATGGAGTACTGATACTGAAAATTCTAATGATGAAGGCTATATTCAAAATAAACTGGTAATATTCGTTTTCTTCAAATCCATCTAAAAAATTAATGCCTGTAGGAATACGATTTAATGACTTTTAATGCCATTTAAGACCTTAATTTTATTACTTTTAATGCTTTTCAATGCTCCACGGAAACCCTATCAATCCAATGCACTTAGAACTTGGAAAAAAATCTTTTCTGCAGCAAAACCAGCTGAGAAACACTACTTTAAGGACTCTTGCGAATGCCTGTAGGAATACGATTTAATGACTTTTAATGCCATTTAAGACCTTAATTTTATTACTTTTAATGCTTTTCAATGCTCCACGGAAACCCTATAAATCCAATGCACTTAGAACTTGGAAAAAAATCTTTTCTGCAGCAAAACCAGCTGAGAAACACTACTTTAAGGACTCTTGCAAACTCCATTTTTTACTGTAAGCACACAAATAACAGCCCTTAATAAATCAAATCATAATTTACAGTCTATCACAGGGCATCAAAGCCTCTTGACAGATACTTCAGTTTAATATAAGGTGTACCTTGTCAGTGACGTCACATTTTAACACCAAGCCTGGGACTATAAGTGCACCATCAGCATCTATGGCCGTTCAGAGTAACACTCAAGATGATAAAAAAGCCTGCAGATAACAGATGCAACGGGAAATGTGCACATCCTAATGGATTGCATTTATGCCACAGCCAAGGTCAGCAGACACGAACACAAGCTGCATTAGCTTTCTTTAGAGGGAGCAAACTTTACTCTTCCTCTCTATTAGTCCCCAAGATGTGTGTGTGAGTGAGATAGCAATAGAGAGACTGCATCCACAGCATGTACTACAGTACGACCAGCTTCATGCAAAATGCTGCTAATGCGCTTAGCGTAATGAGGTTATTAGAGCGAGATGGAAAATGGAGGTAGAGGTTCATGTATTCATATATTAGATGGGTCATTATTAATGCAGGCCTGTCGTACTCTCTAATTGAATTAGAGCCACATGAATGAGCTCTTCCAGCAGAGTGTGTATGTGAGTCGACTTTGTTGACTCATCTAGATCCTCTTCACCGTCCTGAGCACCCATGTTTAGTTCGCTGTGCACTTTGAAGGGTCTGACCCCATCTAGAGAGCTGGGCCATCAGCTTGTAATTACATTAGCAGTGGAAGAGAGGCCATACTGCCTCAAGCTGACAAGTATAAGCTAGATTTACCATAACAGATGCCAAAATTTGCTTGACTCTTATGGAAAGTAGATTTTTAATTTTTTTTTGAAAATGTGAGAGGTACTTGCCCATGCAAGTCGCTGCTAAAGTACAATAACCAACATTCCCTCATACAAAGATAAAATTAGGTCTAAAGGTAAAAAGATATAGTAAAGGATTTAACTGTTACACATGACCAGAATCTTACTACCAATTAACTACACAACCATTAAAAAGTTTGGGGTCGATACATTTTTTTTTTGAAAGAGGCCTCTTATGCTCAACAAGCCTGCATTTATTTAATAAAACAGTCAATTTATTTAATTACAGCAATAATCATAATATTGTGAGATATTATAAACATTTAAAATGACATTTTTTAAAAAGAAAATACACTTATTTTTAAGGCGAAACTATATTTTCAGAAGCCATTATTCCAGTCTTCAGTGTCACATGATCCTTCAGAAATAACTCTAATATTCTGATTGGATGCTGAAGAAACATTTCTTATCAATGTTAAAAACAGTTCTGCTGTTTAATATTTAATAAATCAAATAAAAAAAATCTGAATTCTTGATTAATATGAAGTTCAAAAAGACAGCATTTATCTGAAATAGCAAAGTTACAATAATGTTCCAAAAGATGTCACTTCTGTATTTAAAAATAAAAATAAATTAATTAAAAATATCACCTTACTGACCCTAAACTTTTGAACGGTAGTGTGTTACGACACATCATTCTACAGGAAGTCACCAAAAATGTATTTTATTGTAAAATTCGTATGAAAGCAAATATAATTATTTTTATTTAAATGCTAAAAAGTATGTGATTTTAATTTTGATTGACATATTTGTATCCCATGTTAATGTATTTGCAGGTTCAAGGAGAAACAGTCCGCATCTACATAATTCAAACTTATTCAGAGCACTTTATACTGCACTTGTTTACATTCAACATACTTAAAATATGCATAACAACTGATGTCTAAGAATCACAACTCAAAAGTGTGGATGAGTATCAGACTTACACTTTCTAGAACACGCAAACATCTCTCAGCACCCCACAATGACGCCACTAGGTTCTCCTTATCATCCTCTCGGCTCAGGTTCTCCACACACTCTTTAACTGTGGGGAAACACACACACACGCACATCAAATCACTCTCACAAGTATCTTATTATATAAAGTATATATGAAATGCATGTATGTGAAACCTAGGCCTGAAACCTTGGGATGATCATGACTTAATACAACTTGACACAATATTAACATAATATCTCCCTTCTATATCAAATAATGGACAACGATCAGACATTTAATAATATGCACGTCACTTAAGCAAATAATGAGTAAAAGCAGAAGACCTTTATCTACAATGTGGTCCAGGCCTCCCAGAAGCCGGAGCTCTTCTTTAAACCAATCCCCTGCTCTCTTCGACGTCAACGACAACAATGTCTCCGTTGCTAAATGACCCGTCTGCCGAGAAAAAGACAATGCACAATCAGTCTGAAAGATATTATAAAAGATACATTCAGCTTTAATGCCTCCATTACGCAAATGTAAAAGTTCTATTTGCTAAACAGAACAATAAAACAAATGTAAATAGAGGGTGTGAAAAGCAAAGAACACAACTTGATAAAAAGCTCTTGATCAGGCTCTGATGGCTCATGTAAAAACATGAAAACAAGTAAATATTATAATAGTTTAGCAAAGGGTGTTTTGAATGGATTTAGAGAAGTTCTTGAAGAGGGTTTTATCTTGCTATGCTTCAGTATATAGTCTAAGTGGGCATTCACACAGGATACATTGTGTTCCGTCTGTATATTTTTAATTGCTGGTTTATGCGCACATGATCCAGATGGATATCTTTGACCCGTGCGTCATGTCTCTATTTTTTTCAACGTCATCATTTTCAGCACAATTTAAAAACAGTGTGACAAGTAACAACAGCTGAAGTTTTAAAATCGGTTTCATTCTGATGTGTTCCACCCAGAACTTGTCCTGTGAGAACAGTTTACCAAAATTACACTGTCAGCAGCATGCTAAACCCTCTCTGAGAAATAGAGTCTGTAAATTCACCATCTTTAAACAAAGTTTTTTTGTAACATTTACCATGTTCAACAATAAAGTCCTGCAATAATGGTTAAACAGTTAATCGTGATTATTTTGCTCAAAAAATATAATCATGATTACTGTCATTTGTATTTTTATTTTTTTACATTTCATTAGAGTTATTGCGCAAATCAAGAGAACAACTCACATGGTTTGCTCGCAGATTCAATTTAGCAACCAGCACAAACGATCACGTGAAAAAAACAGACTGGCTGTAATTCACTTTTATTTGAACAAAAAATCTCAATAGATATCACTAAATTCCAACTTAAATGTTTGCTGGGGTTTTTTTTTTTCCAGCTCATCAGCAATTTTTCCATAATGTAGAGAGAGCCTGCGTTCATGGTAGGGGTGGGAATCACCAGAGGACCCACGATACGATATCATCAAGATATTTGTGTCACGATATAATATTATTGCGATTTTTAATATATTGCGATATTCTAATGTAGAGAGAGCCTGCGTTCATGGTAGGGGTGGGAATCACCAGAGGACCCACGATACGATATCATCACGATATTTGTGTCACGATATAATATTATTTATATTAAATTTAAAATAAAAAAAACAGTCTGATGTGAGTTACATTAAAATAAAAATGTTACATTTAAATTAAAAATAACATGTACTCTTAAAAGTAAACAATGTGCTACAACAGGTATACTATGCACTGGTGTGCTCTTAGAATATTTTACGTAAGGAATAATTGGCGACAGGCCGTTGAATTATTAGAAAAATAACACACACCCGAGGTGGTGATGTGGCCACGATGCGAAGCGGAGTTAATTTCTTCTGCATCTTATCCAACGCCTCCGTTGCTAATTCCAAAATTCCATTTAAGAAATTGTAACGGATGCTTGAGCCGTTGATAGCAGACTAATGCAGATATTAATGAAGTTATTAGACAGACAGAGACAAAGAAAGAGAGAGCGCATGCGTGTATATTACCTCTCTGAGTCTGTCTCTCTCTCAAAATTGTTCGGCAGCAGCGTCTCTACTAACAGTGAAACTTTAAGTTCATTTTCTTCAAGAACAGCACTGTTGTTACCTCGCTGGCGAGAAATATAATTTAGCTTTTAAAATAAAATCACCAGAGTAGCGTTAACAAAGTTAGCGCATGTATGTTTCTGTACTGTAAATTATGTATGTGCGTCTGTGAGGGAGAGAGTTCGTGAGAGATAGAGTATGTGCTTTATCTACATAATAAAACGTAATTATGTGGCAAAACACGGAAATTATGTTGTTTTTATCATATTGCTTACTATATTTATTTGTCTGGCCAGTGCAGTGTTATTGTGTGTTTTGGTTATTGTGATGTTGTAAGTAGGGGTCGACTGATTATCGGCCTGGCCGATTATCGGCGTTATATTATATTAATATAATATTATATACTATATTAATATTATATTAAGCATTTTTATGATTATCGGCATCGGTCATTTTCAAAACCGATTCGCCGATAAAATAACTTCATTTTGAAACGTGCTATTTGGCTCTGATGCAGCCTGTCAGAACTCACCACTCTGTGGCCTAAAGCAGTCTCCGCCCACTACTCATCTGATTTGTTGGGAGTCATGAGTAGCATAATCTGATAGGTAGCATTATTTGTCAGAACACCAGCACACCAAAAATCCACCCTGCCACGGCTGCAGCTTCTCACTGACAACATAACGCCGCTCGCATCATTCACAGTTGGGTTATTAGCAGAGAACACAGAGCAGGTCTTGAATTTCAGGTGCAGGATTGCGGCTATTAATAATAATTATACTAATTCCCGCAGGTTCCGCGCTTATAACGCGATGACAGATGACGGAACTTATCATTTGCACGTACTTTCGAGTCTTGAGAACTCTCATGTGCCCACAGATCGCGATAAGGAGAGTGACAGATTTTTATAATTATTCAAGGAGTTTGCAAATGTGATATTGATTTAATACAACAGTTCAATAAACA